CCTCAGTCTCAAAAGATCAATTGCTTACCATGAAAGTGTAAGCAGCTGTTCTAGATTCCCCAGTGAGGGTAAACAACCTCGTTAGATACAGGGTAAATGCAAGAGAATTGGAGAAATCCGACAGCTACACCTTTTTTCAAAATAAGGTTGATGTACATCACATCACAACATTACCCTATCCGACTACTCCGCTACCTCATGAAAAATCTCTTGGAAGTTAGTTGAACAGGACTTTCCTTTAATAAAACTGTGTTGTCTTTTCTTAATTAATCCTCACTTGCCCAAGTGGTTGTTGATTTTGTCTGAAATTATCATTTCTAAAAGATTTTCAACCACTGAGATTAAACTGACTGGCCAGTATTTTCTGGACTCATTCTTACAATTTTGTTTGAAGAATGAAACATTTATAATTCTCTGGTCTGTTGCACCACTCTACAGTTGCAGATTTAAGGAATAAACAACGTTAAGTGAATCATAGGTTGCCATAGAAATTTATGTCAAATGTGGAGTTAGGTTCTGTCAGACATGTCTAACTTGTATGGGTTAAAACAGTACACCATGAGTGTGTAACTCTATATATTTCCAGTTGCAATAATGTGTAAAACAAACCAAGTTAATAAATATGAGAACCAGAGTGCAGTTAGGTATTTCAGGACTTTCTCTGTTGAAAAATCTTTAGAACATTAAGTTGAGAGAGTATTAATGCCTACATTAATAATTAAAATGACATGAAAAATAAAATAAATTATAAATATAGAAGAAATACATGCAAGTACTGCAATTAAATGTTAAAATTACGCAAGTCTGATGATGTTTAAATTGACCATGTTCTAACTAGTGGTAGATGCTGGTTTATGTGATTACAGCAGAATTCCAGAACTGTCTGCATTGACCAACCTCCGCCACTAGGTGGAGCTGGGAGCGACCAGACACCAGAAAGTTTAAAGGTCAGAAGAGAGGGCAGGAACAATGCCTGGGGGCGAATGACGGACTGAAGATAAGATCTGCAACTGGAGAAAGACTGGGATATTCAGGACTTAGTACAGGAGCAGAAGCATAGGGAAAAGGTCTTCTAAGGAGGCAGGCCACAGAAAAGGAAGCCTGCAGCAAACTATGCTATATTGAAATTCACAACTTTCAACAACTATATTGTCACTATTATTAACATTAAAGCAAATAATGCTGAGTTAACCTTATTGGGAATTTACTGTATAAAAGGAGTATTGAGAAGATTTTGGTCCGTGTTGCATATCTTAAAAATACTTGGTCTGACCTTGGTGACAAGCCGGTTATGGATCCCTACCATGAACACTTCAAAAAAACATTCTTCAATTGACAGGTGAAGACTGTCTCTCCATCCACACTCTCTAGTCAGCCAGAAACCCCAGTAGTGCAATGTTAATACCACAGCTGAGTTCAAGACCCATAGCAAAGCCAGGAGAGAGGGAAAGAAGTGGCAGATGAAATACAATGTGAGAAAGTATGAGGTTATGCACTTTGGTTGGAAGATTACAGGCATAGACTATTTTCTAAATGGAGGGAGGCTCTAGGAACCTGAAGCACCTTAGGAGTCCTAGTTCAGGATTCTCTTATGGTTAACATCTGGGTTCAGATGGCTATTAGGAAGGCAAATGCAATGTTAGCATTCATTTCAAGAAGTGTAGAATACAAGAGCAGCAATGTACTGCTGAGGCTGTAAAAAGCACTGGTCTGAATACATTTGGAATATTTAGTGCAGTTTTGGGCCCTTTATCTGAGGAAGGATGTGCTGGCCTTGGAGGGGGTTCAGAGGAGGTTTATATGACCCTAGGACTAAAGTGCTGGTCATATGAGGAGTGTTTAGGTCTCTCAATCTGTACTTGATTGAATTCAAAAGGATGAGGGGACATTTCACTGAAACTTAGAGAATACTGAGATGCTTGGATAGAGTGGCGTGGATATGATGTTTCCACCCGGAGGAGAGACAAGAACCTGAGGCCTCAAAGTCAGCAATGACACTGACATGAGGAGCAGTTTCTTCAATCAAAGGGTGATTAATCTGTGAACTGATTTCCAGAGAAAGCTATGGAAGTCAAGTCATTGAGTGTGTTTAAAACAGAGATGGATCAAAGTGATCAAAGATTATGGGAGAAGGCATGGAGAATGGGGTTGAGAAACATATCAGCCATAATTGACAAGCAGAGCAGACTCGATGGCCTGAATGGCATAATTCTGCTCCTGTATCTTATTGTCTTATGGTCCACTAACTATGGCCCAAACTTGCTGCCAGCCTCTCCCCACCCTAGTCTTTGAGCAGGTTGATCAAATAAAAACATCCCCTCCCAAATGTTCAACCCATAAGTTCGCATAGGTTTCACTTACAGAAGGATATCTAAAATTAAGAATTACTATTACATTTTCTCTTGTATTTCAATTTAGACTTTAACTGTTATTCATGCCTCCATTTGTGGTTAAGACATAAAATGTCAGCAAAAAAATCTAGTATGAACTGGCACTTTGTGCAGAGTCCAATTTTGAATGTTGCGATTCTTGCCAAGACAGTTAATTTAAAAAATGGTTTAAACACACAAATTAAAATGTACTGCACGACTAATTATGATTAACACTTGAGGAAAAGCAATTAAATTCAAGTGCAGTTTAAAATAATAATATTCAGAGATAAACAGAGGATATGGACAAGCAATTACGATTTAATAAGTCATAAATAAATTGTTTGCAGAATTAGTTCCCTTTGTTGAACGCTTAAAAAAAATTTGGAAAATATTCAGTTTTAAGCAGTCCCTGAACTCTTTCAGTACTGCTCTGTAAGTTGCAGTAAAGTGAGTAAAAATGGTCAACTGGATGATTTTTCGTTTGCTCCCTCTGAAGAAGTGCTTCATGTCTGTTCTGAGGTATCTCCCAAAAGGAGGTTCAGACCTGAAACTCTATATCGCTGGGGAAAGTTTATCCATATTCTGCCAACTATATTGCACCAACTGCAGCATATAATGCTTACCATTTTAAGACTTTCATCTTTTGTACACATTCAGCCAAATACTAAAATAATTATTACTTGCCAAATAACTTTGACAGGTAAAGCCATGTTTAATAATTTAGCCTGTCTTTTACTCTTTCATGTTGGCATTGCTGGAAAGGCCAGTGTTTGTTGCTCATCCCCAACTGCCCTTGAAATAAGTGACTTGCTATGCCATTTCAATGAGCAGTTAGTTGTTCACCATATAACTGTGCAACTGGAGTACATATAAGCCAGACCAGGTAAGGATGGCAGATTTCCATCACTGAAAGATAGGTTTACCAACAATCAATGGTAGCTCCACAGCATCATCACTGAGACTTGCTTCATAGTCCAGACTTTTATTAGTTGCATTTAAATTTTGCCAGTTGCCGTGGTGGGATTTGAACCCTTGTCCTAAGAGAATTGTGGAAGTTAATATCCTACTCTCAAACCCATTAGCTTCACTGCTTTAATGCTTGCTTTGCAAACAAGCTGCTACAAAGGGCACAATCTATCAGCAAAGCAAAATCACTGCAAGTTTATAACCAATGCTTTTTAAATTGGGTAATATATGCTATCCAGGAAACATTTCTCACACTCTGTACACTTTAAATAAAAATTGTAATCTATCTAGAGCAAGATCAAGCTGAATTTTCTTTTTTTCCCAAGAAGTTAAATTACTTTTAGCTTAACTGCCAAGGAACACTGTCTGGCAATTGTATTTTAAAGACTTAAGAGAGAAAATCAATTTTTTTTCCCATTGGAGTGCGGGACCTATTAAACTTTAGAGCACACAACTCATTGGCTTTACATGCAAATTGATCACTTTTGGTGTCACAGGCATTCATAAGGGCCATATTCCTTCAGGAGAAAAACTGAACAATTAACTGCAATAACTACACTTAAAAAGTAGCCATGTCAGAGGAAAAGACTGACCTGTAAAATATTTCTGAACTTAAGGTAACACACCATTCTTATAAACAGATTATTTTTTGCTTCTTTTGCAGAGGAAAATCAATCCCCATATAATAATTTGCAGCTTGGCAGATTTTCAAAAGGATTATCTGAACTGGTTCCAGAATTACTTCAGTCATTTAAAGCAGAGTGAAGTTTTGATGCAGTCTGTGGATTAATTGGTAACATTGAAAACTTTGTTCCACAGTACCTGCATGGTACAATAATGTTTGGGCTGACAACTCACCAAACTAATTGATGAAAAGGATGGCAGACTTACTGGCATACTGGGAATAATTTTCTCACAACCAAAGGCAGCAGAGGTTTGTCAATGGAAAGGAGATTACGTCCAGTGTCCTAATGAATGTGCTACATTTTCAATACGCAACATAAATATCCTTGGCACTCAAAACTAAAACAAATCATGTCTGTAAGGCATTGCTAAAAAGTTCTGGATTTGTGACAAAATATTTTCTTGAATTTAAATGCGCAGACTTATATTGTGATTCGCTGCTGGAAATGTATACAGTGCCATGTGACAGGTAGAACGATGTTGTAAGGTTTTCAATTGCTGACAGCACTTGACATTTGTTACTTGCCGGACTCAATGCAGTTGAGAAATTTCTAATGTGCCATTTATATACTTTTAGTGCAGGACACAAACATTTCTGACTTTCTTGTTTAAATTAAGTATCATTGAATGAAAGCATTAGTTATTTCATAGCAAATTGTGTGTGAGGCATTACCCATCGTATACGCTATTTGTGCATTCTTCAATTTCTAGCGCTACAATGCTCTCTCCAGCACGTAGTCCGAGGGAAGCCAGAATGATTTCTTCTGTCTATTCATACATCCCCACTTGAAAGGCTGAAAGGGAATTACCAGTGGCTCTGTTATTGGCCAATCGTGTTTCTTTGGAGTTTTGGAAAACGCCGGCTGCATTGGTCAGAAACACACTCGTGTATCCGTGTTGTCTAAGGGTGACCTCCCTGGTGGAAGATAACTGACAGCCCTGAGGGAAATGCACACAACACCACTGCAATTCCTGTCAAGTTATCATAAAAAGCTGCATTGATTGAGTCAGATACAGCAGCTTGCAGAAACGTGCAGTAAAGCTTCAGATAAAAGGGCACTTTCAAGCTGGGAAACCAAGCCAGTGGGGAATTGTGTTTGCTTTGCAGCATTGTCTCTGCCTGCGCAACACAGACTGAAAGACTACAGGAAGTAATACAGAACCTTATTACTCCAGTTTTGACAGAACATCAAGCAGTAACAGTTCACAGTACTTTGTACTTGGCAATTTTACCACAGAATTCCAGAGGATAAAAACAGCACAATTGGAAAAAAAATCTTTTGACAGATCTTTAAAAAAAATCTTGGATTGCACTTAATATACAGAGGACTAACTGCACTTTGAACGGACACAGAAAATGTTGATTCCCTCTCTTTTTTTCTTCAGCTGCAGTCTCTCCCTGGGCGCAGGGGGTCACAAAAGTTTGGATAATACTGGAAAAAGGCATTATCAAATACAGCATGGGCCTTGCAGTTATACCTTCTTGCTCCCCGAGGTGGACAACTGCCGCTCAATGGCAAATCATCATGTGCCGAACACGGTGCAAAGGGACTCTCCAGAAACAGATAGTGATGGCTCTTTGCAAAGACTTCGACAACTTGAAAATGTAATGGAAAACAATACACAGTGGCTGCAGAAGGTAGGCTAATCATTTTCTTTCTGGGAAAAACCAGACATTCTTTCTACAGCAAGGTAACTTTTTTTTATTTGACAGATTAAAAGCAAAGGAAATGTATAAGTGCACAAACTGTGACAACTGTCAATAATGTGGTGGTCTATACAGAGTCTGATGGAGTTCCTAATTTGTCTTGCCACTCTATTACAACTTAGCTTTGTAAACTACCACAGCATTGTTCCTGTGCTTGTGAACAGGCACGGACATTTGTTAGGTTTAACTTTGGCTCTTATTGAATTGTTTGGTGTTGTGTTGGTTAATGCATATCTTGGTATAGTTCTTAATATTCCACAAATGCTTACATAGTGGACCAGAACATGTTGGCAACACTTGGGCAAATAACCAAAAACTGTTTTTTGAAGTAGTTTCAATGTGAATTTTCTTCACAAATTTATTACTGATCAAATGATCACTACCTTTAATAAATTTCTGCTTTGAGATATCATGATCTTTCTCCTCTATTCTTCTGAGCGTCAAATTATGATGAGTGATTGATGTGAAAACTGCGTGGCACAAGTAGCCAAGTTTGATAAGTCTGTGTATCCACACGTGAGATGGCACTGTTTAGCTTCTTTCTGTCCATTCCTTTTTCAAGAGGAATGCTAATACTTGTAACAACAGCATAGCCTTAAAATCGAAAAGTAAAACATGCTGACATGAAAATATACAAAATGTTCTGTACCGTGTGCAAACTGTCTAGCCACAGAACACATCACCTATTTAAAAGTACCAAAATAAATGTGTTCATGCTACCAAGGTTCATTTTTCCTTCAGAACATTTAAGAATAGCCTTATGCAAATAAATGCAACATTTTTCAGCATTTTGGCATTTTTCTGCCCAAACACTGTTAATAAAACTTGCTAAAAACAGCAACAAATTCTACTCCTGGTAGCACATTTTTAGGAATGCCTCCTTTCCCCTCAAACCTTATGCTTAAAGTGGCAAAGAAGCTGGATCAGTTGTGCCAAGTTCCCACGAAGATGGTTAGAAACGGTTTGCTGGGTGGTGTGCAGGAATGGCTGAGGGCAACTATACACTTCTTTAAAAATTCCCTTTCTGCTTTGTTGTAAAAATACCTGGTCTCAAATTGACAATTTCCAGCAGCAGCATCACAGATATTCAGAACAGTGTGTGATGGGTCACTGATGTATCCAGCAGTACTCACTTTTATTCCTCTCTGTTTCAATAAGGCTAAAAATAGTTACGTAATTCCCAGGAGAAACCCCTTACATTCCTGGGCCATAACATGATTGGACATTAACCCTTATTACTAACCATTTTACCATTAATGTCAAAGTATTAAGAAATTGTTATCTGCAGGTTAGATTAAAACAAAGCAGCAATGAACTTTACAATTTGTTATGGGAGTTATGCTGAAAAAGTTTTGTAAAATGGATTACTTTCTACAAGTGGAGTATATTGGTAAATCATGAGATTTCTACAGATATGATAAAGAGTCAAGAAAAGTATTTAAATAGTTGTGTACTGTAGCACTTGATCAGAAGGAGCAATAGGTTTCTTGTAACACAGATAAAAACAGAAATTGCTGGAAAAACTCAACAGGTCTTGCAACATCTGTGGAAAGAAAGCAGAATTAATATTTCGGGTCCAGTGACCCTTCTTCGTGATAGGTTTCTTCCTCTGTTTACACAAATAAATGCAGTATTTTATTCTGTAGCGATGACCAGGTTTTGTGCACATTGCTATACATTATCATTTTACACTCCCATGTAGCTTGTATGTATCAAGTAACAGCTTTCATTCTTCTCTCACTACAGTTGAAAAGCAATGGGCTCATTGTGCACACCTGTAGTATACCAACATGACTCCTTCAAGTGGTAAATTAGGACTTCATAATTGTGAATCACAAAAAAAGAGAAGCCATTTGGCTAATCGTACAAATGCTAGCTCTGAAAAAAAAGCTATTCAATTAGTTTGACTCTTTCTTTTGAATATATATGTCTATTTTTCTTCTGAGAATTTCTTATGAAGCTGTTCCCATTGCCCTTTCACATGATGCATTCCTGATCATAAAAATCTGCTGCATAAAAGTAATAACTTGCTCCACAAAAAAGTACAAAGATTTTCTCTGGTAAAATACTGGTTAAAACATCTGCACACAATTTGTTTGTGCACTAAACAAACAGGACAATAATTGTGAAAACAGTGCTGACAGGAATTTCACTTAAATACATTGCCCCCGGTAAGTCCCAATCTCAGCTGAGTGCATCTGTAGGGTAGCTTGAGGACCAGGTTTGACAATCACAGAGGGAATCAAATAACACCCCAAATCTTTACAGTACAGCTTACCACACCAAGCCATATCAAAACAAACATTTTGTAAATTAATTGATAAAATATTGATTAATTCTAAGATGGAACAGTTGGATTCCAGCACTACTACTAAGTAAGTTGCACTGCATGATTGTACTGTTCTGCATATAGAGAAATATTTCATGATAACATTACTGGTGTTTTGTTTAAACATTCTTAAAATATAGCAATTATAAATGTGGAAAGCAAAGTGTCACAGCATGTACAAGGAAAGCATGGCAAAGATAAATATTAGCAATTGCAGAGACCTAGGACAAGACTGCTTTTTCCAGCTAGGAAACAGAGAATGCAGGACAAAAGATTATTTTTTTTTAAAAATGGCGTATTTTGAAAAGAAATTTATGTCACAACATCGTAACTACAAAACCAAAGTTGGCAGAAGTATTTTTAGCAAACAAAAATGTTCTCAAGAAAAAAAACACTGGATTTTGGTTAACTGTTTCCTGCCATCAGCTGCAGAATTGTCATGGGTGGCAATTCGCCAAGTTAGAAGAATGATCCAAAAAATTAATAGAATATGTCTAGTATTTCCCTTGATATACAAGATTATTTCTAATCACCACCCTGTGTTGTCTCTGAAGAACGTATCAGTTCCTTATGGGGAATAATTGGATGACAGTGTAATTATGGATTCTGTTGTGAGAACATTGTTTTGGAGAACCTTCTTTATACAGAGTTTTTGGAGGAAAAAATGATTTGCCACTTAATGATAAAGGCCAATAATACAGCATCTTTACAAGAGTAGTTTGTCAAAAAATGGAAGCCGACAAGTTACAGGGTTATGGGAAGAAAACAAGGTTGTGTGATTATACTTGAAACTGTCATGGAGTTGACACGATTGACTGAATTGTCTTTTTCTGTGCTGTATACATTTATGGACCTCAGAAAAGAGTACCCAAATTGCACAGTTAATTTCTATTAAGTTCGAATGTATGCCCTGTTCAGAATTATTCACTTTAATTCCCCATTGAAATATTCCTGGTTGTTACTCTGAGTTTGCTCGTAAGATTAATTGGCTCTGGAATGGCTGGTTGGTAAACTCGAAGCTTCTCGGCTCACTCATTTGTGTCTTCGCTGGCAGACACTCAATGGACCCAAAAAAGCTTGTTAACAATACTGCTTCAATATGGTTCTCCCATTCAGATGTGATTATTAAAGTCAGCAGGCACTTACCTCAGCTACGTCAACAGCATTCTTTATTGTGATTAGTGAAGTGGAATTGCTAGTCTACAATCAGCAGGGAAGTTATCTGGTTAAATGGTATCTTATGCTGTGCAGTAAATTGATTGCTGAATCTAATCTGCTGGTGTTACGTTTAATATGCCACCTTCCAACTAGCAAGGGTTCTCTTTAAATGCACAAACTTAACATTTTTTTTCAAAGCTGGCAGCTTTACAATCCTGGTCTCAACAGAAGTTACCAATTAGATTACTGGTGTTAAGAGCTTGCTCAGCTCTGCAACACATTGGCTTTGGTTGTTGCAAAATAATTTTTGTCTCACACTTTTAAAATTTGAGCAACATTTGGATGATCAGAGTGCTTTAACCTAATGAGAATTAAAAGACTTGCATTTATATAATGTCTTTTATACTTCCAGGACTTCCCAAGGTGTTTTAGGTAATAAAGAATTGCTTAAGTATACGCACTTTGTAAAGTAGGAAACGTGGTAGCAAAAAGGAGCATGTTCCAACTAAAAGCAATTATGATAATATGATTTGATTTTATGTTGTTGATTGAAAGATAAATATTGGCCATAGTACTGAGGATAACTTCCATGCTGCTCTTCAAAATGGTGCTGAAGGATCACCACAAAGAGCAGATGAAATCATATTTTAATGTTTCATCTGAAAAATGGCACCTCTGACAGTACAGCATTCCCTCAGTACTGCACTGGAGTATGAGCTGTGAATTTGTGCTCAAGGTGTGAGTTGTATTTGAACAACAACCTTCTGCCTCAGAGGTGGAAGTTCTACAAAGGGTGCCATGGCTGACACTTGGAAGTGTTCACATTTGAAATGCCAGCAGGTACACAAAGAAATGAGTGAAGGCAATAAAAGGAATAGACAACATAAATTCACACCATGTTTCTCATTATCTGTGAAATTGCACAAAGTTGCTTGAAACTACAGTCAATTGAGAACCTACATGTGTGTATGCATAGATATCCATCTATCTACATTGGAACATGAAATGTATGTAGTAAAGATTAAAAAATAATTATTTATGTTTTGATAATGAAGATTCGTTGAAAAGATGTGAAAACAACAAGCGCTTAACATGTTGCTTCTTAAAGATGTGTTTATTTTGGACATATAATCTTGTTCTTGCACAGCGATGTTGTTAGTTACAGCTTGGTATTAAGAAAAGAAATTCTTTCAAATGGTTATCTCCAAGGGATCTGTTGTTCATGCCTTCCATGTAAGGAGACTGGAATTTAAATATTGCCTCCCTTGTTCTGTCTGTTCAAGCAGATGGCAGCGTGTCAGCTTAAATAATTGCTACAAATATTGATAGATTGCTAGATTTCTCTAGGGTTAACAATACCTGATGTCAGTGGATAAGAATTAAAATATTTTCAAAATACGCTCCAGAGAGTGCATAACCCAAATATTTATATAACAACACATAG